CTATTGCAAATATTGCAAAAGTATTTTAAAAGGAAATTGTGTGTGTCAAGTTGTTTCTTAGAATATCTTAATCCACATGTTACACACACACACACACACACACTATTGCAAAAGTATTTTAAAAGGAAATTGTGTGTGTCAAGTTGTTTCTTAGAATATCTTATTCCCTTTCATCCACATGTCTGTGAGTGTCACACAGAGGCACATTCTCTTGTTCCTCAGTACACTGAGTCGTTGTGTTGGTTCACACACCCTACACTGTGCAAACATGGTACAGAAACTCACACAGTCATGTTCACGCTCATCCACGTGGGCTCGCACACTGATCCAGCACCACGACAATAGTGGACAAACATATCAGCAAACAGCACATCCTCTGACACACAAATCACAGTGCCCATGTGACTAGGTGACGACACACGCACAGGAACACAAATAGAAACTGACCTGCGCAGCACATGAGCGCGTGCAGATGAGCATTCAGGCTCCGTTCGGTGCAATATTCAGGCCACATTCTGCTGGAGACTTATTCCTTTTGGCTTCCAGAACGATCTACCTTTCCTTTCGTCTTCCTGTCATGTCTCTCAGAGTGTGGCGTTTCACACCTTTAGTCCAAACACACTCTGGCAGGAATCAGAAATCTCTCAAGTCCACACTCGAGGAAAAAAGGCATAGAAATGTTCACTTCCTTTTTTTTCCTGTCTACAGCTCCCACGTTCTACCTCCTCGTTCGCCGGTCTTCATGTTTGCTGCCATATCAAAGCTCAGCTCAAACATGCAGCTTGACTCACACGTGTATGTCAAACTCTACAAGAGCTCCTCCTTCACTACGAATAAGGACTGATGTTCCCCTCCTCCCTCAAAACACTGCCACACGCGCTCGCTCAGAGGAGAGATGTGTCGTAAATGCACTAAAGAGTGCTGTCCTTTCCACCTCTCACAATCTGTGGTTGCTCAGTTTCCTGTGATTGAATGAAGAACCTTTTGTGCAGCAATCCATCTTCAAGAGTCTCTGTAGCAAGCCTACAAATGAGAGATAATCATGCTTCTCTGAACTGTTGTTATGAACTCTATAACAGCATGGTGAGATGAGCGAGCGTCACCGCAGGATGATGTCATCTGAATAGTCTCTGTTGTCACAAGTTCACCCGTCCCTTACCTTTAAACTGCAAAACACCTGGAGGGAACTAGGCCACGACAACAATGCAAGTCCATATCATAAAAAGTCTCGTGATGCAGGCTAACATGGTCCAGTTGAGCAATAAACAAGTGAATGATGAGATGTTACATGATCATTTCCTCTGCAGAGCTCTACAAGTATATATAACAGAATTGAGGAGCAAATGAAAGTGAAAGTGAAAATGAGAGTGAATGTGGGTGGGGGGGAGGGAGAAAATCCTGGGGACTTTTAGGGATGAAGGAAAACAATGGGCTGCATGAAAACGGTTGAAGTAATCATGAAAAATTATAATCACAATTACTAATCATAATTGTTTTCATTAAGAAGTTTCTTCTTAAATTTCATTCACTGAAATTCATTCATTCATTCATTCAATTATTGTACTTTCATGAAGCACAAATAAAGAAAACGCCAACTCAAGCGCAATATTAACTTTACCTAACTTCTTTATATTATGAAAACTGGTAAGAAGCTCCAAAAGCCAAAACAGTGAGATATCTATTATTTACAATAATTCCAAATTATGTTAATGGTTTTCTATTAAAACAGAGGTAGCATAAGTGCATTTATTTAGCAACCCCAATG